ATGACAGAGCATAACCATTACAATAGAATTTATACTTGGACAACATATCGGAACACTCCATCACAACACAGTATGATGTATAGGCAAACTAAAAGTCAATTAATTTTAACAATAACATATTAGATATGCATAATTTGCACAGATAAGCACCACAGTCAATGGAACTGTCTTGTTTGGGTACAAACTGTTGCAATAATAAACTAAAATTTGTAAGTTTGTACATACCACTTCATAGTATGTTTGTATAGTCTGAAAAGTTAAACTTCTGTGTGTGCACCCCTACCTTTTTTCAAATACATTGACAGCACACTATTCAATTTGAACAACAAAACATTAATTCAAATAAAATTTTGATTCATACCAGCACTTGCTTGTTTTGTCACAGTAAAATATTTTTCAATAGAATCAAAATTAAAAATTTGATTTATGACGCTTAATAACCTATACAAATCCGCTATTAATATTGTAGACAAATAAATTTTAAAAAGAACTTACAATTAAAATCTAGTGGCTTCTGACATGACAAGGCATTATATACAATAGATTAAACTTCACTTACATCATATATAATCCTAATTTTATAGCGGTGTCAAAACATAGATATTATACGTACAGCTGTGATGAAATAACTTACATAAAAGTATCAGTCAACAGTCTCATCAGGTTGATTTGCAACCAATTTACTAAAGATTGCTGAGGGTAACACACAAAACATAATTATTGCTCTAAAAAATTGCAGTTTTTATTTAATAATACTCATCCTATATAGTCTACATTGTATTCCTGCTTATATTCACTGTAAATGGTAATTCCTCTTTGAATATATTGATTGAAGATATAGACTTGCACCAAATAATATAGAAAAATCATTAAAATGGTGTCACTGAACTCCTGTTAAGAATAACAAATAGAATTCAAGTGATGGTTCAGTATTGTGATGCTTTATGCAGCCTGTAGTAGCAATTTTGCATTGATAAAGTTACACTTTCGATAACATCCACGAATGCTTGTCCTTTGCATGGATATTTATGGTCCTGTCGGGTCCGCATCAGTCAGTCCGTCCGTCCTTTTTCGGGCGGGGCGGGTCCGTCCGTCCGTCCGCTTTTGAGACCCTACCCACTCTGTTTGGACTCCCTTGGACCCCTCGCCCAGTCGCCCTTAACGTTTGGACCCCCTTCATGCCGTTTGACGCGCGCTGGCAAGACACATGCTGATACCTCACAGCGGTAGCCATGATCATAACACTGCCCTCTTGTCACCATAGATGCTTCTTAAAAGAGCAAAATTAAATTGCTGCAGCTAAACAGCCCTGCTA